AGAAAAAAAGGACAAAACATCAAGACAGTAATCCAGGGATTGATTTTGCAGAAATGTAACCAAATAAGGTGACGTGTTTACATCTACAAGCGGCTTTCCTTTGTTTGTTAGGATTGCAAGCTTTCTCTGGAAAGAGTCTCCATGCATCTGCAAGAAGCGGTTTTATAGCTTAATATGAGTTAGATTCCGAGGAGCAAATTTCAAGCAAGTGTGGAGAGAGAGAGATAGAAGTCACTTACTGCAGATTTAGAAGAGTCCCAGGTGAAGAACCTTGTGAAGAATGGAGGCTCATTTCCTTCCGTTACAATATATATCGGTGTTTCGCTTGCTAGATTTTCTAGGAGGAAATCATGCTTGAGGAATTTCTGTTGAGGAAGACAAGGAAGCAGAAGATTTATAAGTACAAGTTGCAGTTTTGTACGTTAATCTAGTTGAATGGATCTTAAGTACCTCTCCGATGGCTAAAACTTGCGGTTTCTTCTTAGGATCGACTTGTTGCCCCACCCAGACAAAGATCTCAGTGTGAGAATCAAGTATGAAGATATCTTCAGTCATCAAATCATCTTGAGTAAAGTTGAAAATCTCGGTAACCTATATGGGAATCAAAAGAAAGAAAGAAGATCTTCCATAAGAACCCAAGACGTGGGCACTGTGATGATCATAACATAAACGTGGCTTCAAAAAATGAACATACTTTACCTTCAGATTTTCTGGTAAGATAGCAACATCAGAAGAGTATCACCGGAGAAGCCAACCGGCAAAAACCATCAAATAAGAGTTCAGATCAGTTATTGGATCGAGAAAAGTTGGAAGTGAAAAATCCTGGGAACAGATGTTGCCAATGATTTTACCGTTTGAGAATGTGCAAGAGAAGAGATGAGGATCACTCTCTCCATCCTTTTTGATCTTTTGGCTTGGATATTCTGTTTTTCCTCCTAATAATTCCCAGAACTGTTCAGACTCTGAACCTTCCTTTTGTGCCCTGGTGTGTTCATTTGGCTGTATAACAAAAACAAAGAACCAGAGGTTTCAACCATATGAACCTGAAAGGTTAGCTACCAAATGCAGAAATTTAACACATTACCTTAATCAGATCCAACATTCTCTCCATAAGCTCTTGATCATCCGAGGAAGTTAGATTGCCACACCAAGTGAAAACAGATGAATCACCATGTAATATATAACAGTGAGAAGAATTTAACCCTGTAGAAACCTGTTGGGAACCAGATACTCTTTGGATTAACGATATAAACTGATGAACAGGAAAGTTGTTGATTATCGTTTTCAGTACACGTACCGCTTCTATCTGTATGGCTTGCATGTTCTCAGGTCCAGAACCTTGAACCCGAAACAGCGCAACACCTTCTGCCTCGTAGGTATTATCAGGGATTTCGTTCTCTGCTATGTACTTTTTGAAAGCATCACTTAGACCACCCTGAGACAAAGATAGCAGATTTTCAAAGATTATGATGAAGATTATTTCAAAATTAACAAAAAAAAAACCTGAAGAAAAAAGATACAAGACCTTAAATGTGATGAAGCTTTGCATGATCACGAAAAACTGAATTGGTTCTTTTCCCTCGTAAATGCGAGCCTGCACGGATTAAGACTAATAAAGGTATATCCAAAATGTTTATTGAACTAAGAATATATAACAGAAACAACGGGAAGAAGCACCTGTGCCGGCATAAACTTCATGGATTCAACCATCTTGCTTGCCATGGAAATAGCAGATGCTCTGTCTTCCTATATAAATCATCATCAATGAGCACACATAGCAAGTAAGAAGCTTTATATATATATTTGAAGAAACTCACCTCGGCGCTTTGCATGCCAAACCAAGTACCCACTAGATGTTCCTCTCTGTCTTCTCCGGGATACGAGTACTGGAATATATAACAATCTCCGCTATAGAACTTCGATTGCTCCGCTGCTTCAAGAAGGATCTTTTCCTCATGATTGATTCGCCATACCTGCAAATTTTTGTAGTTCTCAATCAAAAGACTGTGTTTTGGTTATATTTACTTATTCAGACCCTTCAATGCCGGTATCAACAAAGGCGCACTACCTGGAGATTTCCTGTGCCATCAATGTAAGGCTTAGGTTCGTCTTTAGAAGAAGAATAAGAAGTCTTAACCAGGCCTTGAACGTTAACTCCTTGCCGTTGCAAAAGAGCTGGTGAAAGAACAAACAGAGAATAAGTATCTCATAATTTAAAGTTATAAAACTTCACCAATTTGATCAATGTGAATAGTATTAGTACTAGTCTACTACACCTGCAACTTTGCCTCTGCCTTGCTGGGGCTCAGATACAGTACTTGTAGCGGGCCATGAATCAAACTTAGATCGGAACATAACTGTTTCAAACCCTTCCATTACACTTACCAGGTTTGAATTTGGACGTTCAGACGAACGAAAAAAATCCTGAAAAAATGAAGAATGACAGTTAACAAAACCCATCAAAACAAGACTATTCGTTTGGTGCATGAGAAGCAGTGTACTTCTGCAGCTTCACTAGCGTTCTTTCTTTGATCGATAGATGTATTTCGTCCCTTCCAAACAAACAATTCGAGACCGCAGTCCAGAATATAACATTTGTTAGTGTCCAAAAGCTCTTTCTCCAAAGTTTCAGCCTCTACAGCTTCTGTCTTTCCCTTCTCAATACTTGAAAGACCAAAACATGTCTCAAGTCAGAACATAATCACCTCTTGCAGTAATTGGTCAATTACCAGGCTACTTCTGTTGAGATCAAAGGTGTTCTACCTGAAGAGTTTGATCCCGTCAGATTCAGCGGTAGTGTCATTGTTGACTGCTGGTTTCTTTGGAAGCGGAGCAAACCCACCAAACAAACCCCAAAACTCTCCAGCTTCAGCATCAGCCATCATCCTCCCATCCTCTACAAGAAAGGAAAGCACATTAAACTCAATAAAGTTGGTATAAAAGCTAAGCCTCCATGGTTTTTGATCTCACCAACAGCTGCAATATCGCACTTTCCATCATGGTAAGTGTCTTTAATGTACTGAACAACCTCAAGAGCTTTTGCTCTTTCTTGAATACTCGACTTGGAACCACTGAATTGAAAAATTTTAGACTCTGTATCAAGAATGAAAACATCGTCATGGTTGAGAGTCGATCGAGCAAAGGGAACCTGTAAATGTGAGAAAGTTATTAAAACAAGCTGAAACATAAAAGACCATTTGAGAGAAAAGACATTCAGGACATTGTTAATTGACTTGCCTCTTTTACACGAACGACATGTTTGCCTTTGCAGATATACAAACGCGTCTGATGCTCCTCGGGCTTTACATGGTTGAACCCAGAAGCAACTCCACCTTCTTGTGGTATTATGCAAGGTTTGAAGTAGGAAAGGAATTTCTCGGTCTCGTGACCCTGTACTTCTCGGTATTGAACAGCACGCCCACCTAACGCAGAATCTAACTCAACTGTCTTAACAGCTACAGCACCTGCTTCATCCTGTTTTCATCAACACAGCACCATGATTCCTGATTCCTGAAACAAGTCGAAGAATATGCAAACAAGAAGAAAAAACGAGAATATGAAGATTGTTACCTGACTGGAATCTTTACCGAGCCAGTAGTGAATATCGTGATGCAGGGAACCGATTCTTGACGCTGTGGTCTGGCATGATATAATTAGATAACAAGGTTTGAGACAATATTAAGAACTATATATCATTTAACCAAAGAAGAAACAAGAAAGACTACCGACCTTTAAGACTATATAGGAATCCCCGGTGAAAAATTTACCATGAGACTCTTTTGGAACAGCGACAGGTTTGAAGTTCTCGATGCGCCATATTTCAATCCCGCTGTATATACAAGCAGGAGACATGGTTTAAAAGCAATACGACAAGGACTCGCATAGAAAAACATTAAAAGTAAAAGAAGGTTACGATTTCTGGCCAGCTCCTTGGAGAGCCTGATCTAAATCTCTCATGGAAAACGTCATTCTGGTTTGTGTAAAGCTTAAACTGTCTCCTCAGCTTCTTAGATTTCAAGAAACAAGCCAAACCTGCAAAGATAGTTAATGAGCATTATGACTTGACCATTAACTCGGAGGTTGTTGTAAAATGCAGATTTCCGGAAAGGAAATAAGAGTCTTCCTGATATCTCAATGCGTGTAACTAGCAAAAAAAACAAGACATTCTCGATATAAGAATGTTCTTGAAACAAAAGGAGCATATTTGAAATCGTGTTGGTACAATGTTGATACTAGAATCTTTGTAACTAAAACGTGAAAAGCTTCTATTGATTCACATTTTTTCTGAAACCCTCCAAACATTCTCTATCATCTACACAACCAAAACATAAAAAAAGGTACCATGATCCTCAAAAAAGCTGCAAATTCAGACAAAAGCCACAAGAACAGAGGAAATTCACCAGCCCACAAAATCCCGTTGAGATAACTCCAATATGAAAAAGTAGATTCATACCGGATATGAATCCAGCCAGATTGGTAATAAAGGATTTGAGGTAAATCTAAATGCAAGTTCTAATTGGAAGAATCAGAGGCAGAGAAAAAACCAGAGATGCAAACAAAGTTTTCATCGAAACCCAAAAAGGTAATGAGTTTTTTTTCTTTTTCTTTTTCTTCTATATATTAAGTACATGCATGTAGTGATGCATAATAAGATTATGAAATTAGTTTATCTCTGTAAATTTAAGAACAAGGAAACAAAAAGGAATTACCTTTTACAGATATTTGTCACGAACAAACGTGTAATGCCTGCATTTGCATACTTCTAAAACTCTCTTTGGATTC